ATAAAAATAGAGATGACCATTATGACTAGATTTACGGTCATCTCTTCACAGTCATGTTATTTTTCTTTCAAATAAAATTAGTAATGTCTATTAAATAATAGCTTCTTAGTGTCAAAACGTCTTTATGGTATAATGGAGTTTGCGTTCACGTTATGTACATCGGACTTTGAATATATGGAAGTTTGAATAATTAACTAGCTTGTTAGTCCATATATGCATCAGTGTCTTCTCCAACTTAACTGTAGTTGATGGAGTACGATTCACTATATAATATGTGGTATTGATTGTTTGTGCCTACAAAGTTTTTTTTTAAGCCAATAGATCCTAACATTGCTTTTGTTCTCTCTAACAAGATTTTACTCATCGATTCTACCACTCCATTTTGCTGAGGAGTGTAAGCAGTAGTGAATTGCCTCCTTATGCATTTTTTTATTTTAGGATTTTGCAAACTTATTGCTGGTATATTCGCTTTCATTATCTATTGTAAACATTAATCTTATTGTTAGATCGATGTTCTACTTGCACTTTGAAGACAGGACACACATTTTAATAGAAATATGCCCACATCTTCTATAGTAGTCATGTATAAAAGACACTAAGTGTAACGCCTCGTATTGTTGGTAAATTTGTATAGATAGGATAATGAGCAGTTTTGAATATTTTTCTAAATTAGCCATAAAATCTTTTATTAATAGGATTGGTAATTTATAAAATTAAATACTTAGTTTAGGATTTAATTAAAAAATAATTAACGTACTAAATTAAAAATAATAGGAAGATAAATAGAATATTCTTTTTTAACACTTGTAGCCTTTGAATCTTTTTTTCTTCAAATCTTTGGACCTCTTAAATCTCTATTGAAACCACTGTTGGACTTTATTAGACCATTATTGTCACTTAACTCTTTAGAAACATCATCACTTGGTCTTCCCTTCAAGGCTGTGTGTAAACTAGATTATATCATAACATCATTGATTTGCACTTGCTACAAGTCGAAATTAATTGTTCCTTCAAAATTCTCTATGTTAACCTTTATTGGACTCATAAAATTTGACATATTTACTTCAAATCCCCAGTAAATGTGCAAATGGTGAACAACTCACACTCTTGACAAGACTGGTTTCATAAATATTTTATGATACGGAAGTTCATACAATATTGTAGCCACAACATACTTAGAAACTCAATAATCTACAAAGCTCTAATTAGTATATCATGCTTAAATGTTTTCATTCAAATGGATAAAACTCAAACCTATAAATACCTTTTATAGATTAGATTTGAAACACGTCACTTCACTTATTTTTTACTATTTTAATATTTTGGTAAAAACCAACATTATTATCATTTCCTTAGTCTCGAGGGACATTTGGAATAAATTTATAAATCTYAAGGGCTAAAATATCCTATTTGAAAATAGATAAAAAACTAAAATAGGAAATTCCCTCCATATTTGGTCCGTTTCAATTTTATTTAAAAATAAAAAACACATGATACATAAAAAAATAATGGGGATTTGAAATTAAGGCTTTATCAAAAATTTGATTTTAGGAACTAGGAAGCATGGCAAAGGCAAATTTTTGTGTAAGGATTTGTGATTAAAATGTAGAATTTGAATTAGAGATTACAAAATGGAATTTCCATTTTATTATTCCTAAATCCATAGACCAAATTCGAACTTATTTTCTAACCATGGGTCCACTCTCTCTCAAGAAACCCTAGCCTCCATCCATACGTTCTCTCGCTAAAACTCTGCCACCACTCTCGATCAAATTTCGGCAAATTTTCGAAGCAATTTGCATTTGGGTGACCGTTCGAATTGCAAGCAGGAGGAAGAAAGCCATGGCAGAAGAAGAAAGTTCCTCGAAGAGAATGAGAATATACGTCGGAGGACTGGGTGCCGCCATGACCGAGGACGATTTGAGAAAGCTTTTTAACAGCGTCGGCGGCGTGGTGGAGGCTATCGATTTCGTTCGGACCAAATCTCGCAGCTTCGCTTACGTCGACTTCTTTCCCTCATCCCAATCTTCCCTTTCCAAGCTTTTCAGCACTGTAAGTTTTTTTGTTCGATCCATTGCCTGAACTCTCTTTTTCTTTGTTTCCTTTTCCAGATAGTGTTCATGTGCTTAACTCCGTTATCTGGTTATTAATGTGTTTCTCGTACCACTTCATGAATTGTATAGTGTGTTCTTTATTTTAATTGCTGGAAGTTCAATATTCTTATACACAGTACAATGGATGTGCTTGGAAAGGAGGAAAGTTGAGGCTTGAGAAAGCCAAGGAACATTATCTTGCTCGTTTGAGGCGGGAGTGGGAGGAAGATGTTCAAGTTAATAATAGTACTGCTGGTGTAGACCTGGAGGTGTCTGCTCCAGAATCTACTGAGAATGTTGCAAAGTCAGAGCACATTCAGATTTTCTTTCCAAGTTTAGGAGAGGTAGTTCTATGCTTCGCTCATGGAGTTTTCATTTTGAGATGTTGAAACTGTCGCTGTTTCTTAAGTATGAACTTATTTTACAGGTGAAATGAACTTATTTTACAGGTGAAATCTTTACCAATTAGTGGAACAGGAACTCACAAATACAAATTTCCACATGTTGAGGTACCACCTCTTCCTGTGCATTTTTGTGACTGTGAAGAGCATAATGTTTTTGCTCCCACTGGCAATTCCAAGGAGAAAAAAACAGGGGATTTGGATGCAGAGAATGGCGAAATGGATGAAGAGGAGATCAAACTGATGAATGCAGTGATGAACAGGCTCTTTGAGAGGCAAGATGCTTCTCGAGCTGATCGTAACAAGACCATGGCAGTCAAGGTTAAAGGCAACTCAACGACGATGGCCGATGATCAACAACTTGAAGATAATAAAGTGGATAGTGATGAAGATGGCCTGGTGCTTAATGTGATGGCTAGTGACTGCAACTCCAAAACCATGCCATTCAACAGTGGAAATAAAATGTTCAAAGCTCATGGGAACAATAAGGTTAAGAATCATACCAACACACCATCATTATTATTCTTTATTCTTTTTTTATTGTTTGGTTAAATTATACGTTTGGTCTGTTTAGTGTTGTCTATTTCATCCTTGTACTTCAAAAATATTTAAAATTTTAAATAGCTACTCAACCTTTTAAGATTTTATCTATGTAGTTCCTACACTTTGAAAAGATTTTAATATGTTCATGAACTTTCAATTTTGTGCCTAATAGATTCCCGTGTTAATTTTATTAGTTTAATGATTATGCCATCCAAAGCCTTTACCCGAGATCAGTCTGCAACCTATAATATAGTAAGGTTGCGATGGATGTATTAAATTGACGTAGTTAATAGTGGAGACATATAAAGCACAAAATTGAAAGTTATAAACTTATTAGAAACTCTTTAAAATATAGGACTAGATAGGCATAACCTTGAAAGTATAGGAACTAAATGCACACAACCCTAAAAGTAAAAGTTCGGAACCAAACTTGTAACTTACTGTTTTACATTTCATTGAATTTTATCTTCTTGAAATTTGAGGTTGGGGTATATTTATGAGAGTGGACCATTGCAGGGTTCATCCAGGGACCAGAAAAGTAGAGTTCAAAGCAAGAAAAGAAAATCAGTTTTTAGTGAGGAAATTGATAGAAATGAACATGTGCCAAGTATTCCTACTGGCAACGGAAGTACAAATCCAGAATATAAGCCAGATAGAACCTCAAGGCCTCAAGCTCCTGATCGAGTAATGCCGATCCAATCTTCACGTTCTCAGAAATCCTCATGGAAAACACTTATTCGTGATAAGAATAATGTTTCATTCAGCATCTCAAATATACTGCCTTCTGTTCCAGCAAATCAAGAGCAAGCAGAAGTTGACGATCTTTATCTAGCTCAATCAACTCCTAATAAAAATAGTGACCTTGGAATACCGGTAGTATTGGAAGGGAAAACAGATGAACCTATCCCCATGAAGAGTAATGTTTCATTTAGCATTTCAGACGTACTGCCTTCTGTTCCTTCAGCAGACAAAGAGCAAGTGAAAGCTGATGATCTGAATCTAGCTGATTCAACTCCCAACAGAAATATTAACTTTGCAACGGATGAAGTATCGGAAAGCAAATCAGAAGAAATGAAATCTGAGAACATCCCAGAAACCCAACATAGCATGCCAAATGTCACCTCGAATAAAGGCAGAGGTTTGGCATGGCGGCAGAAATCTTCATGGACACAATTGGTTGGTGGTGAGGAAATCACCTCCTTCAGTATTACTCAAATTTTACCGAGCCATACTTTTGAAAAGCAGGTTGAAAGGGAAATAGATGCTATTGATGTTAGTTTCTCTGCTGGGAGTGAAAATGATAATTCAAAAAAACACGACAGTCAATGTATTGCAGAAGAGGAACCTGCTGCATTTTTAATAAGAAAAGAAAATACTGCTGGGAGCGACATCGAGAAGAAGCGACAATCTGGTGTGAAAGAGAACGAGTCCTCTTGTAACCAAGTTACTGAGAGGCATATGCTACAGCAAGCAGGTTCATCTGATGTTAGAAGTGGAGAAACTTGCCCGTTTATGAGAAATTCTCGCTCGCTAGCGGAGTGGACGAAGATAAAAGCAACGTTCTCTGGTGGTTCCAAAAATAAAAAGCCTAGACGATAGATTACTCGCTTTCAGAGGTATGTCTCTTAAATCTTGGGTTGAATGACGAGTCATGGTTGTATGTGAACACAAATTAGTTTCATCTTATGAATGGTAATTTGCAGCTTTTAGTATGTGTAGGTTCTTTTGGGGAGTGAAAAGTGCATTTATCCCATTAACAGTAGGTTTCAAAATTTTCATAGTGTGTGTTTAGATAATTATAAGTAATTTTAAACTTGAATTTGCATGCATTATTCGGGACTTTTTGGGAGATAAAGGGCTTATGGCTTTTTTGTCGTAGTAGCCTAGTTGGAGTTTTGTTTGGACTATAGCCAACTTATCTCATATACTAGTTGGAGTTTTGTTTGGACTATAGCCCACTTATCTCATATGGGGGAAACACATTATATACATTGTCACTCTTTATATAATTTAGCCTTATAGGTTTAATCAACTACTACTCAAATAACAATGTTCTATTGCTCTCTAAATATAAATTTGGTTAAATTACAAGTTAAGTCTTTGAACTTTCAAAAATTGTGGTTGGTAAGTTCTTGAACTTTAAAAAGTGTATAACGTGTTTATAGACTTTCTTTGTGTGTGTTTAATAGACCCGTGTAATAGCCACGACCTCACTTGAATAATATCTGTTCTAGAGGTACACTTGAGTTCTATAGAAAGTGTTTAGCTGGTTTCTCAACTATTTTGTATGTAATAGTCTCTTAATTTTTAAAAGATATCTGATATGTGATTTGTTAGGCATAAAAGTTGAAAGTTTAGTGACCATAAATACAATTGGCTAAACAACATTTGTTTTGTTATATTGGTCTTGGAAAACTTTTGGGACGACGTAATAATTAGAGTAGAAAGTTAGATAGCCAGAATTGGGCGGATATTAAAAGGAAGGTGGCGCCTGGATATTTGGCAAAAACAAGGCTAACTAATTATAAATATAGCAACAAATAAAAAAAGCCCAAACTCACTCATGAAAGTGACTAAATAGTCTTGATTTTTTTTTAGACAACAATATTCTTGAAATCTTTATTAAGAGTTGGGAAATACTATGGAAACAAGAGTGGATTAGGGTTAAGCTTGTTGGTAGGTTCTTAACTTAGAAAACTTGCCGCTAAAAAAATATAGTTATATTTAAAGATTTTTCTTTTCAACTGATACAATAAAAAAAAATCGTGCATCATAATTGTAGGTATACGAAGATTCAAATTCCAAATTGAACAAACAAACAAATATTCAAATTCAAAGTTAAACCAACTCGCTCAAGGATTAAGATAACATTATTTCAAAATAAACCTAGTAGCTCATTTGATTTCATATTTTGTAATTTCAAATCGGGAGAAAACCATGGGAGGCCTATGTCCTATAGAAACTGTCTGCCTGAGACTGCCTTTGGCTGCCTGAGACTGCCTTTGGCTCGTGGCTCGGGCCCCTCGGAAGGAGGCATTTTTCGCCCTCCACCTAAGCTCTGCACGAAAGGCCCAAAGCCAATCCCAAGAAGCAGGGAAGCTTCATAGGATTTTTTCTGTCCAGGTGCAAGTAGTCCACATCTTCAGAGACATGTCTATTTCATCGAACCTCTCTCCGAGACAGTGCCAAGATCGTTACCCCTTTCGTGTAAAATACGTGGCAATGAGTTTGAGGTTTTTGGAAAGTTTAATGATAAAAAGTTCTAACGAGTTTATTAGAATTTAAAAGTCTAGAAACTGACTTGCCATTTCAAATATCAGTAATGAAAAATGATTGAGCTTCCTTTCGAGTGTATGGCTCGATCACTCATAAGGATTCGAAAATGAAGATAAGCAAATTGCCAACAAATATATACTTATATTTACAAGTGCTATGTTTGCGATGTAAGCTTCCTGGAAAATGAGAGTGGTTTAAAAACTTTTTTTTGGATTGTTTTGGGTTGAAGATGAAAAGAAAAGTCAGGTGAGAGAGAGTTTTGGGTTTTTGTTTAGAATGTCATGAAAATAAATACGACACAACGATTACGACATGTCGTGACTTTGTATTCTTTATGTTTTAATATGTTTTTTTTTTCTTTTTCAAATCAGGTGAGAGATTTTCTTTTTTATAATATAAGGTTATTTGAGAAATATCTAATCCATTTCCTATTTTGCGGAGATTATATTGCTAACAATATCCTTGAAAATGATATGCCAGGTAGGAACCACAATTTAAAATTTCGGGATAACTCTTTTGTATCTTTTAATTAAATCAATTTTTAATCATAGTTTTGATTAGTTAACCATATATTATTTATTTGTATATATATATTTTTTGAGAAAGGATTAGTTAAGCATATTGTTTTATACTTTTCATTGATTTTCTTTAATAATCCAATCCAGCATTAAATTGAATCGAGGAGAAACTCTTAGAAAATTATGTCCTTTGGGACTCTCTTGTTTTTTTTTTTTTCTTAATACATAAACTTAGCTTTTAGGCATCTCCAAAATTGATTACGTTAAATTGTTGTATATTGAGTTAGAGACCCAACATTTATATTTATATATATACACACACATACATATAAAAGTTAGTAAAAAGGTAACAAAGATTTAGCAACTGATGAAACAATTAGCAAATTTAGAAAAATGAACAACATATACAATGGGCATATATAAATGACATGACAATATAAGAGAAGGGTAAACCTTAACTTATAAGAGAATTGGAGAATTGAAGCTTTGAAAATCTTCATGATCCCGAGTTTTAAAACCTCTTTTTCTTAGTTCTCCAATAGTCCCATTTGCAGATGGTCAAATTTACTCTCCAAATTCTCCTTTTTATAGTGCAGACAAACCCTACCTTTTATAAGAAAAATCACGACAACATCGAGATACATAAATGAGATTGAGATGCTACCGATCATAGTGTTGAGACACCTAAAACAATGTTGAGATGCTATACAGGATTGAACACTATGATATTAATTATAAGTGAGTGTTATGGCGCTTTGCCCAACCTTACGTACGCTAGTCATGCAACTGCTACGACATGTCATTGATAGTGCCATGATACTTCTACCTCAGATTTTTTGCTCTTATTTTCATGCTGTAGGGCATCATGACGCTCTAATAGTTGCCAGAGCTCTATTCTCTCAGGTTGTGTGCTTGAATTTCACCTCTGCAAGTGTCTTAAATGCTGGAAATACGTAGTAAATTATTGGGTTCCTTCAAATACTTGATTCTTGCAAAATGTCAAATCATGTGTTAAATCTAGTCCATATACCACTATGACTAACAAAGTGGCCATCGGAACGAAATAAACCTAAAAAATTTAGGGATCAAAATGAAATTTAGAGAAAATAATCAAAATTTACTCTTGAACTTGGTAGTGTAAATCAATTTTTACAATAAACTTTCAATTTCATCAAACTTGTATTTTTTTTAGTTTAGTAATATAGAGACGAGGATTTGAACATTTAAACTCTAAAGGAACTTTTTGAACGGATTCAAATCAAAAAATATCTTGAGTTCACACTGCTGTAATCAGAAGTTGGATCATAATACATATAATAATACCTTAACCAGTTGTCTATGCTTAAGTTGGCTCATCAAATTTCATATTAGACTTAAGAAGAATGTTGTTATTTTAAGCTTATTGTCAACTTTTTACTCCATTCAATCCCTAATTTAACAAAAAAAGTTAGGTAAAAACTTTCAAAATTTATCACTTAAAAGGTGAAAAAAGTTCAGCTATATCCAATTTTGGTCTAATCCCCATTTAAAAAATGATAGCTTATTTTACATTTCCTCTCTTCTCAGACTTAATCTAAGCAAACTTCTACACGTCATTTTAGCCTAGATTTTACTATGTCGACTTGTCGTTCAAAATATTAATAAATGTATACTCAAATGACAGAGTTTAACGAATATTTTTGTAACACAACCCTAATTTCATAAAATTGAAAGTTGGGGATGAAAGTGAATCATTTATCCCAAATTTAAACCTATTTTATACCAAGTTGGTGAAATTTGCCGCTACTCTAAACAAAGGGCATTTTTTCTTTAAGAAAGTTTGCCCTTTTCGGATCTCATGATGAACAGTTCTATTAAACTCCACAGCAAAAGCAAAACAAATCCACAGCCATCCTTTCGCACGGCACAGAAATTTTCAGAAAAGTTTCAAATTCCTTCAACTTGGTTCGTCAAATTGATGAATGAATGGACCATCGTTGGCTCTGTCCAAAACAGAGCCCTTCCTCGCCATCCTCCGCCGCTATGCCGCCACTCGCTCTCTCAACAAAACCAAGATTCTCCATGCCCATACGGTCACTTGTGGAATTCTCCTCTCCCCCAACTCCATCGAGCTCCGATCAAACCTCGCTGTATCCTATGCGTTTTGCGGGTGCGTCCCTCTCGCACGCAAGCTGTTCGACGAAATGTCTGACCGAAGTCTGTTCCTATGGAACGCCGTAATCAAGATGTATGTGGACAGTGGCTTGCATTCTGATGCGCTCAAGGTGTTTGATTCAATGATTTGTTCGGGGAAGTGCTGGCCGGACAAGTATACGTTCCCATTGGTTATTAAAGCGTGTAGTGAACTGTCTATGCTTAATGTTGGAGTTTTGGTTCATGGACGTGCATTGGTTTCTGGGTTTTCTTCAAACACATTTGTGCAAAATTCTTTGCTAGCAATGTACATGAACTGTGGGAAATTAGAGCTAGCGAGACGGGTTTTTGACGTAATGTCAGAGCGGAGTGTGGTTTCCTGGAACACGATGATCAGTGGGTGGTTTCAGAACGGTCGGCCAGAGGAAGCACTGGCGGTTTTTAACAGTATGATGGATACAAAAGTGGAGCCTGATGCTGCCACAGTAGTCTCTATTTTGCCATCTTGTGGTTACTTGAAGGAGTTGGAGTTGGGAAGAAAGGTGCATAAGCTTGTGAAAAAGAATCATTTAGTGGAGAAGATTGAAGTGAGAAATGCACTTGTGGATATGTATTCAAGGTGTGGTTGCATGGATGAGGCATCACGAGTCTTCATTGAGACGAAAGAGAAGGACGTGGTTACATGGACTTCCATGATTTATGGCTATATCATCAATGGCGACGCTGCAAGTGCTTTGGCTCTTTGCCAAGCAATGCAGTTGGATGGAGTTGTCCCAAACGCAGTGACTTTAGCTTCTCTTCTCTCTGCCTGTGCGAGCCTGAGTTGCTTGAAGCGAGGGCAAAGCTTACATGCTTGGGTAATAAGGAAAAAACTTGAATCTGATGTTCTTGTAACTACTGCTCTAATAGATATGTATGCAAAATGTAATGCTATTGGCTACAGCTTTCAAGTGTTTTCAAAGACATCTAAGAAGAGAACAGTCCCTTGGAATGCACTTCTCTCAGGGCTCATTCATAATGGGCTTGCAAGAGAAGCAGTGGGACTCTTTAAAACTATGCTTATAGAAGAAGTAGAAGCAAACCATGCTACTTTCAACAGTCTCATCCCAGCTTATGCCATTCTAGCAGATTTAAAGCAAGTGATGAATCTACATTCTTACTTGGTGAGATCTGGTTTTGTATCAAGAATTGCGGTTATCACTGGTTTGATAGATATATACTCGAAATGCGGAAGTTTAGACTATGCCCATAAGATTTTCGACGAAATTCCAAACAAGGATAAGGATATTATTGTGTGGAGTGTTGTGATTGCTGGTTATGGAATGCATGGGGATGGTGAGACTGCTGTGTCACTCTTCAACCAGATGGTTCAATCTGGGGTGGAGCCTAATGAGATCACGTTCACTTCTGTTTTACATGCTTGCAGCCATAGGGGGTTGGTAGATGACGGTTTGGCATTGTTCAAGTATATGATCGAAAACCATCCGTCGAGTCCTCGCCCCAATCACTACACTTGCATTGTCGATCTTCTCGGTCGGGCGGGTCGATTGGATGAAGGATATGATCTGATTAGATCAATGCCATTCAAGGACAATCATTCTATTTGGGGTGCTCTGCTTGGTGCGTGTTCGATACACCAGAACGTCGAGCTAGGAGAGGTGGCGGCAGAGCGGCTTTTCAAGCTTGAGCCAGAAAATACAGGAAACTATATATTGCTTGCAAATATTTATGCTATAGTTGGGAGATGGAGAGATGCTGAGAAAGTGAGGCATATGATGAGCAAAATAGGGCTAAGAAAGATGCCAGCACAAAGTTCAGTTGGTGTGGCTGTATAGGAGCAAAGATTTGAATTGGGCAGAATTCCCTTGTTTTTCTGTTTAAAAATGGTATACAAGCTGTCGATATTTTCATCGATATTACATGAAAAATCGATATGAGAGATGTTCTGATATTTCTACGATATTACAAAAAAATCGATAAAATATAGAAAAAAATTATTAATATAAAAATAATATGCATACTAATACTTTTTAATTAGGATAAGATGTTTATTCGTTAATTTAAACCTTTGATGTGAAATTTTTTTTTATTTTCATTACTTTATAAGAAATATCAATCGATGTTATGCTCAAAATCTTGAGTTCTGATTAGGTTAAATAAGAAAGAAATATATTAGTAAGTGTTATATATCAGGTTAGGAAAGAATTTATGATTTTAACTTTAGAAAATTTCTTATAAATATCATTCAAGAAATAACGTTCTCGTTCCATTTTAATCTATGACTATCAAATTTGGTTTTAATTTTTAACTTGTATTTTTCACCATTATACAACAATGTAAAAGAAAATAATAAATATATTCCTTGACATGAGAGCGAATGGGTCTCAATGCCTGTGGTGCATCAGCCAAAAAAGTCGGTGCCCGCCGTGAACATACTGTCGTTTTCATCACCGGACAACTGAACGGCGACGCCGCGCTCCGCTCTGAGTCACGGCGCCATCTTCATCGTCACGCTCCCGATTCCGACCTCAGAAGAAGCTTTTCTCGATAAGATATGACGGAGGACGGTGGCGTTAGGGTTTCCTCCGACGAACCCTCAGTCCCCAATATCGACGCCTCTTCTCAAACAAAGCCAAGGTATTTCTCTGCTCGCCATATCCGATTGTACTAGAATTTTGTCCTCGTTCGTTTTTTTCTCCTGAGCGAGATCTTGGTTGTATTTGTTCTGGAGGATATCGTATGCGTTGCTCTGCTGGTACCAGATCTATTCTCTTTTTGCACGTCTCTAAATTTGCTTTGAGAACTTCTTGTGAAATTGATTTTACTAGTCCAAGGGTATTTCAATTTATATGGCCCCATTGTCAATCTACCAATTATTGAGTTTAGTTTAAGTTGATTTCGGAAATGGGAAACTTAAAGATTTTGGGTATAATGCTGTAAACTGTATGAAAATTTTCGATCTTTTACGGTGCTGTTATTTTTCTCTTCGCAGAAAGAAAAGGAAGTGGGATCAACCTGCGGAGTCCTTTCTTTCTTCTGGTATTGCAGTACATGGGGTCCTCCCATCATGTAACATGACGTCCCTTGGTGGGGTTGGTATTGCCAGTGTGGCGGCGCTGGCACCAGTTTCTTCAGTCAACTGTGCAACCTTAACCCAGGTGATTCAATATCTATATAGACCTTCTTATCTTTTTTGAAGCATTCCTCCAAGCATGCTTGTGTGTGTGTATGTGGGTTTTTTTTCTTGTTTTTTATTTATTGATTTATTTTTGTTAGCAGTAGTTTCTTATGGGCAGGATAAATCAAAGTTAAAGTTTTCACAAAGGATATTCTGTCTCTGGTTGTCGAATTACAGTGAATAGAGAGATGGTCTAGGGTTGCCTCGTCCAAATTACAATTGTGACAAATTATTGGAAAGTTTTGAAGTTCAGGGTTTCTGTTGCAACAGTCATTCGTGTTTAAGTTTCTGCTAGCAGGAGACCTAAGAAAGAACTACGTATATTTTAGCTGTTTCTCCTCTCCGTGGTTGTGTTATCCCAGTTTATGAGTTCTTACCCCTAGGCCAGAATTTGCGAGGGAAAGATCCGAACTCTCTGAATTTCAAAACAAAAAATCATTATTCTGGTTAATATCAAACCACTAATTTTATTTCCGTTTGTAAGAGGAAAAGGATGCCATCTTGTTAATTGGATGATGAAAGCTCCTAGAATAGTCAAACTTCTCTCGTGGACCCTAGCTTACAGGAGCATCAATACTTAAGACAAGCTTAGGAGGAAGAACCTGCACCGCATCCTCTTTCCTCATACTTGCTCGAATTGCCTCTTCTATGAAGAATCCAATAGATCACCTTTTTAGCATCTGTTCTTTTTGAACATTCATGAATATTTCTGTAAATCTAGAATCTTGACAGTTTTATAGTTGTTGATGTTTTTCGGTATTGATCTATACCAGTTACCATTAAGGCTTGTCTTAGCGAAAGCGATTTGATATTCCTATGCTGTTTTCTTATTATTTTCATTGTGATTACACAGATGTAAGAACCACCTTAGAAAACACCTCTAAAAATACGGTTTATTTCCATAATTTTAGTTATTTCACATGCATGCATCTCTATCTTATTGCTAAAAGCTGTTTGATTTTTGCATGTCTGCTTTTAGACGAAGATTCAAGATGAGTTAATAGCAAGAGAAATATCAATAAATGATGCCGAGCCTTCTGTTCGATACAAGCTCACGAAACGTCAGACACAGGAGGAGGTGAGTGTGTTTTTTAGAGTTTTTTTGGTGGAGGGTTTGCCAAGTTTCCATTTTGTACAAATTGTATCCTTCACCTCACTGTTTTATCTTTTTTGTCTTATTGAGAATTGCTTTACCGCTATGTTGCTTTCCTTGCAGATTCAGAGACAAACTGGTGCTGTGGTGATAACTAGGTCTGAAAGCATATAATCAGTTATGAATTGTGATGGAATTTTCTTATTATTTATTCTCTGAAAGTAAATTTTGATTATGCTTGCAGGGGCAAGTATCATCCTCCAAACGCACCTCCAGATGGTAACAAGCCACTGTATCTTCACATCTCTGCAGGAGCCCATGTAAGTATTATTCACTGGTTCTTTGTGATGCATGAAGTGAACTATTTCAACTAGCTTCTATTGCGACAAATTATGGACAAGTTTCTAAACTTATCCTTTGTAAAAGCAGGTTATGTAAACTCATCTTAAACTTGTCGGTTTAGTAAAAGTATGACTGTATGAGGACAGGATTAGGTTGTGTTGTGTTGCTCATTAATGGAAGTGAAATGAAGAAACAGGCATCCCTGAATTTTGAAAAGAAACCTTTGTCTGTCCAGGAGCATATTTATATGTAACCTTTTTTGATATTTGTGTTGGGGCCTACTTATGCAGACCTCCACTAATCTTTTGAGGTAGTTGTGTGACCCTACAACACTTGATTGTTAGGAAATTCAGAGGTTTTTAATATCCTAGGTAGGTGGTTACTATATAGGGTTTGAGCGAATTTCCCCAAAATCCCTTTTACATTTTTCTTTTATATATGTCCCAATACTAGTCTAGGCCAACTCATCGTGGTTCTGTTTGTGAGCAAGTCTTGTTTGATTCCTTATGGGATCTTCCTCTTTGAATTTCAATTTTAGAATAGATTTGAAAGATAGGGAGGTTGAGTTTAGACCTTTAATCCCTTTGGCACATCATTTAGGAGTGGGGTGGCCTTTAGTCATTTGAGAATAGGAGAGCCTTGCTGTGCATTCCTCTGAGGTTTGTTTATTTCCATTTCCCCTTTTATTTCTCTTTAAAAAAATTTATGTATGGGTTCAAACACCATGATGGCCACTTACTTTAGGAATTAGTAATTCCTATGTGTTTCTAGGCACCAAATGTTGTAGGGTCACGTGGTTGCCCCGTGAGATTAGTCTAGGTGCGCATAAGCTGGCCCGGACACTCACGGATATAAAAAAAATAAAAAAAAATTATGTAGATCTTTATCATCTTTACTCAGTGAGGTGAAGGGGATACAATTTGTACGAAATGGAAACCTACCCAACAACCGCAAACCAGATATTCCCATAAATTAAACCACATGACTTTTGGATTGGCCAGAGGAAGCTCCATTGAGCTCAATGATCAATGAGTTTATTGAACTGCTTTATATCATACTCTTAGGCCTAACCCCACCGAGATTTTTCATGAACCCACCTTATCTCACCAGGAACCATTACATAAACTGAAAACATCCTCCAACGCTGTCCAATTTGGTCTCTTAAATGAAACGAGATGGCCTTACATGATACACCTTCATTATCCAAATTTCAATACCATTTGCAAAGGATATCCTTACAGACATAGAGAAAGCTCTTTTGACAACATGACATACATGAACCAATCTCTAATTCTACAAAGCAAGAATGTCGTCCTGAGGCCCCAAAAGAGTCAAGTAGCAGGACCAACCAATGTGAATTCCTCTCCAAATGGATTTATATATTTATTTATTATTTTTTAATTGAAATAAGCTTGCTTTATTGAGTAAATGAAACAACAGAAAAGGACTAGTCAACGAGTCAACAAATAGACCAACAAAAAGCAGGCATACAAAAACTACGGCCCAACAAGGAGCCGAAACTATCCTAATAGGAGAAGGAAGAGCTCCAATCCAAAAGAATAAGACCAAGCGAATAATTATAGAAGTCTCTTGATCTCGAGGCCCAGAGTGAGACATTAAACCTAATAATGGATCCTATTTATGATAGATATGAACCAAAGAAATGTATTGATAATGAAAGAAATACAAAAAGATATTACCAAGTAATTCGAGGTACTTGGATCCTCTCTTCTCTCGAGTATTAATACTCGAGCCTAAATAACACTAAGAAATTGTGTACCTCAACCCTTTCCCCTCACCCTATTCATAACAAATGCCCTAACAACTTCCAAGTTAATTACTAATATACAACAATATTCCTAGTTCTATACTAATAGCATTCCTATCAATTTCCTCCCAAGACCGCTCCCTCCCAAGATCCCAAAGAAACCAACAAAAACTCCTCTAGCATAATAACGCAGTAGTTCCTATCAGTGTTGTTGAGGCGCACCCGGGCGCTCGCCTCAGGCGAGAGGCGAGGCGATTTCGCCCAGGTGCGCCTTGCAAGGTGCCCAGGTGAGCGCCTTCAATCGGGCGCTCGCCTCGGTGTGCCTTTGTGCGCCTCTCGCCTGAGGCCAGGCGATCGCCTCGTTGAAGCGAGGCGATCTGCCTTATTTATTTTATTTTATTTTAATTTTAAATGTGTTTTTTTTAAAAGAACCTTTCTCCCTTGCGAAATACCTCGGTCCACAAACCCTAACCATTCTCTCTACCTCTCGACATTCACCTTCACCACCCTCAATCTTCGGCCATCGCCCACTCCCGTCTCCGATCATCACCGTCGCCGCTCCCGTCTCTGACTAAACTTATTGCATTTGGTTGTTTTATGTATCTTGTTGACATTTACTATGACACTATTTTGGTATTTATTTTTTAAACTATGTTTACTATATAAATTTATGCACTATATATATAATTTTTATTTATTTATTAAGGTGCGCCTCACTTCACTCGGGCGTCGCCTTTGTATCGCCTCTCGCCTCAAGGCGATCAAAGGGCTTGTCGCCTTGAGGTGCGCCTTGCGCCTCGAAAACACTGGTTCCTATTATGGGCCCAATTCACTCAAAATTTCTCGAATAAACAATCCCAAATATACAAGCGAACTGACAACTCCAAAGGATGCCACTCAAATCCTTGAACACCTTCCTTCATACTACAAAGGATGCGTGATTGTATGGCCCTAGCAACATGAGGGAATGCCTCTAAATCCAATCCAAAGTGTTAACACTCCATGCAATGCAACACCTACTGGGAAAAGAATTGACCTTTTTGGGAATATTAACCTTGGAGAATAAAGAGGAAACATAGGGGCGAGAGCTACACAAAAGGTTAAAAAAGATCCCCAAGAGAACCCTTTTGATGGATTAGGAGACTAGACCCGAAGATCCTGCACCTTGGACATGATTGAACAAAGAAATTAGCCCAACCACATCCATGGACTCCTTATGAGATGAATGACGACAAAAATCAAGATTAAGAGAGGGAGAATGATACATGGATGGAACTACGGAGGAAACGGGACAACACTTCAAAGAGGAGAGGTGATAAAGGCAGGGAAACTAAAGATGAAGAGGTCTATCTCCAAACCAGCCGTCTTCCCAATAATACGTATTTGAGCCATCCTCAACCAAACACTTAATGTAATTTGAAAAAGAAGGAAAAATCAAGGATATAGTTTTTTCAAGGATTTCTAGAAGTGTCTTTAATCCCACCAACCTGTAAGCCACTCCATTGGGTGAGGACCATACCTACCCAGAATGACCTTATGCCATTAATTGCTTGATTTCAACGGGGAAAAAAAATCTTAACTTTTCTAAGAGAACAACTTATGGCACCCCTCTCTTCCAGGCCCCTAGGCATTTGAAGTTCCAGCTCACCAGCCTCAATGAAAGGTCCCCATCAAAAGCTTCTCTATCAAAGCTTGGATTGGGACTTTCACAGTTTACATTCATTGTCAAGTTCCTGAACTCCCCACTCAAGCCCTCCCGCCCTTCCCCCTCTTGGCCACCTTCATCTGGTTTATATGGGGGATTGGCTTCTCCTGTGGCTGTATCTCATGGGCTAGGGCATGACACATTTCCCTGGAGCCGCTAGTTCGATGGTAGGAGATCAGAATCAATTCAGATGGTGCTTTAACATTTATGAATGCCTTCTCTGGTTTGAGCTTCTGTTATTTTCTGCTCTGATATTGTGTTTTCTTCAGATATAGACAATTTTTTACCATATTTTCTAGTTGTGTAGTTATGGTATCCTTTCGATTGGAGGAAGTTCTTAATTATAAAAATTAAACCTGCAGTTGAAAGATATGGCGGAAAGGATTTTAGCTGTTGATCGAGCTGCTGCCATGGTTGAAGAAATGCTGAAACTGGGTCAGAATTTGGCGCCGTCTTCTTTGCATTCTTTAAGCAATGGCCTCAAGGTAAAATTCCAGTTATTGCGAAGTTATATTTGCAATTGGTTGAGGTTTAATGCTGATCATTCATTCCCTAATTAATCAGGTTAACCAGCCATCTAGCACGTGTGTGTTTTTGGGCTTTGACACAGACCCATCTATGAATATTACTGCTCGAATACGGGGACCAAATGTAAGTTTTCTTTTGGGTCCTTCCATGCTGTTTCATATAGTTTATGGGCTACACCTTTGGTTCATTGCTGTATGGTCCCATAGCCTGTAAGGAAGTTCACTTTCTTCTCTAGCACTTCACAGGAGTATTTTTTAAAGCACGGAGGCACATTAAAGCACAATAGCCCTCTGGGGTTCAATTGTGAGGTGGAAAAAAAATAACGAATGACTTTTTTTTTCTGTGACACGCACAATAGAAAACTGTAGATAATTATATATATGTACACATGAATGAATGAAAAAATTAAGGAATTAGAGGTTTTCTGAGAAGTTATCTAGAAAGGGATTTTGAAGGATATTTTAAATTCCTTTACAAGAAGAAAAACCCAACACCCTGAGGCACAAAAAGGAATAAGAATAACAAATAAAAACAGCCTGAGGCACTAAGGCACACACGCTCTTGTGGCCCCTTGCTTCAGTTTTTTTAGCGCCTGGGTGCACTTTTCAAAACCCTGCACGAGACAATCATTTGAATTATACTAATTCTGCACATCTTATGCATTTTGCTTCTTCCACTATGAAGATACAGACATTATGACTATTTTTTACATTATGACTATTTTTTACCCTTCGCCCCTTCGCCCCTTCGCCCCTTCACCCCTTCACCCCTTCCTCCTCTATTTCTTATTTAATTAATTGAAAAATTAAAGCAATCTTTTATCACTGATTATCCATTTCATGGCTGCATTACTTCAGTTGTGATGTGACCAGCAGATGTACAATGTAAAATTAGTACAGTATATATATGTTTTTGGTAGGAACTTTAATTCCACTTCTTATTATAAGCTTGAGGTATCTATAGACTATTGAAAGGGTCAAGTATGGGTACATGCACGATGCAAAAATCATGATGTAAAAATTTAAGTACTTGTGCTTCTATTCTTATTGTTATATTCAAATTTTTAAGCAAATTGAAATGTTCTTGAAGATCTTATATTTGTTTGAAGGACAGCCGTTTCTAAAAAACAAAAAGTTCAGGTACCGTTTGATAACTAAATTTTTTTTTCCTGTTTTTGAAAATTTTTCTTATAAACACTATTTCCATCAGGTGTTTTTTCGCTTTATTATCTACCTTCTTTCAAAATCTAAGTCAAAATTTTAAAACTAAAAGAAAGTGGTTTTTAAATACCTACCAGATGCACAAGTCTTTCAAATTGAAAAGTTTCAACTCAAACATCATTCTTACATCTTTTCGCACCATTTTATTGGGTTTTATCAAGTATAATACATCCTTTTGTTTCCTTTGTCATTGAGTTTCTAGTTTTGTTTGTTTCTTTCTAGTTCTTTGATGTAAATATTTCTACTTTCAATCAAAATTATCAACTTTATTTTCCCTTTCCTTTTCTGTACTAAATTATTTTGTTCGTGATTCAATGTCTCATTTCTCAAGCTTTTTTTAAATTAAAAAAATAATTGTCTGGAGAAGGAACAAAAAATTAAAAGATGGGAGACTCCAGCTCATGTGTTTGACATATAGTCTGCTATGTGTTGAGTGTGTAAGTATTTGTGTTCGGGTCTAATATGAAATTGTTCAAAATAGAGTGTTTGTGCTTCGTTAAGAAAGGACAACGTGGTTTATAGCATTACTGATTTATTACTTGCACAATGTAATCATATATTATAGCTATTTACAATGTCATTGTGCCATCCTCAAGAAATCTGTATGTCATTTTTTTGTCTGATTGCACTTTTATGATCATGCGGTTCTTTTGCTTTATTATGAAGTTTATATTTTGGTTTCATATAATCAAGATAAGAGATGCTAATGTTGTAAGCTTTGCATCTCCATACATCTGGGGGAGATTGTTTTTTGTTGTTGGTGGCTTGGTTTTGTATATGCAGGACCAGTATATATATCACATAATGAATGAAACAGGAGTAACAGTTTCTCTCCGAGGACTTGGTTCAGGAAGTACTGAAGGTGCATGTGAAGGTACTTCTAAGGATAGACGACTCTTACCTCATTATAAGAGAGTAGGACTAGCTATTTTTATATCCACTTTGAAGTAGAATAATGTTTTCTGCCTATTTTTGCAGAACAACCATTGCATTTATTCTTGTCAAGCAGCGATTCCAAAAAACTGGAGGATGCCAAAAATTTGGCCGAAAACCTGATGGATACAATCAGTAAAGAATTTGGTGTTTCAAGGTAATTGATGTTTGATATTCTTATCTTACCATAAATAAGGTAATTGGATTCTGATTTGAGCGTAAGCATTTATAAAGAAATGCATAGGCATTAAATCCTCTCCGAAAGAAGTTAAAGTGCAGGGGTGGTATAATCCCTTTCTATTTCCTGCCATTATGACCTTATAAGGCAGCTACTGCATCTTATTACTATCATGAAGCAATTTGTGTTTATCTAGGGGTTGAAACTCTGTAGGTTTATTATTAGAAATAATTCCTATTATTTGCTATTTTCTTCGGGGTGATTTGTTAATGTTATTTTGTGCTTGAAAATTCCATGTTCCATGGTTTTTTTTGGGGGATAAGAAGCCAGGAACTTTCATTAATTAAAGAAATGATACAAAAGTGGGCGATGAGTAATCATCCCAAGGGCAAGGGGATTACAAAAAATTCCTTCAATTGGTGTTAATGAAATAGGTATTAGAACTACAAAAGAGATTGCTAGAGAAGCGCCAAGTAGAAGCTTTCCGTGATCTTATATTATGCGTTAATAATTTTTTCACTCCAGTGTGTTGATTTTGTACCTCGCCATTTAGAAATTACGTTAAGCATTTCAAGTTCATGCTCACTGCAAGGCTATTTTGCGTACTCTATCATTTCTTATGGACAGTGAATTAATTTGTTGCTTGAGTTGTCATTGTATATTTGATTAACTATTAAGGTATAACTTTCGCCGATGTTTCCAACTGTCTTAGGGTTTCATCATGTAAGGTTTATAGTGCTGTTCCACCTCCACAGCAGGTTTATGGAGCTGTTCCACCTCCACCGCAGGTTTATGGAGCTGTTCCACGACCACCACAGGTTTATGGAGCTGTTCCACCACCACCACAGGTTTATGGAGCTGTTCCACCTCCACCACAGGTTTATGGAACTGTTCCACCTCCACTGCTTTGCAGCGGCATGTCAACCTCACAGCAGTTGTTCACTGGAGTTGACAGCATGGGAAATGAGCCGACTACAAGTTCAGCTTCAAGTTTAATCTCGTCAGCTTGTCCTACCATAATCTGTCCAGTTTCTTCCATTATACCAAGAGTTGCTGCCGTCAGCACTCAAGGTTCGGTATTACAATCTGGAGGATTGCCACAGCCTCAATCAACTGCCATTAGTTATTCCAAGCCACCTGTATCTGGTGGGACGAACTATAATGGATATAATGGAATATATCCTCAAGCGACACCTTTGCAACAAGTTGCCCTAGCCCTTAAACAAGTATCTTCAACTGTCACGTCCGTAGCTGTCCCAAACAGATCTGCACCAAGCGTGTCAAATATGAGTGTTAGCTCCGATGCAGATAAAGAAAAACGGCCGCATCAGAAGCGTAAATTTCAAGAGCTACCAATATGTGTGCAGGGTTCTGCAATAAACAACCAGGTACTGGTTTATTCCCTCTTGTACGAGTAACAAGTGTTTACCTCTTTATTTGATTTGTATTTTGAGCCGATTGAAAGGGGACACTGTGATTGTGGAAAGCAACAAAGCTTTTCAAGTTTGAAGGCTGTGGCCTCTTTGACGTCAATCTCTCTGTGTAGATATGTCAGAATTAAGGGTAAAGAGCATTGAATTCAAGCAAGTTGACTTATGAATTGGATGATAAAAAATTTGGGAATATAGGGGGGGCGTGTCCTTGAATAAGTATGACGAGTTTATGTTGATTTGTTTCTTTTCTTTTCTCT